ACAGACGAAGTCCATCACAAAGTTCCTATCATAAATAGTCAAAGGGCATCTCAAACAGACTAAAGCATTAGTCACATAACCATTAGTCGGGGTATCAATAACCATACTCCCACTCATAGCAGACAAATTCAAATTCAACCTCTTAGCACATTCAAGCGAAATAAACGAATGAGTAACACCAATATCAACTATAGAAATCAATTCAACATCATTAATAAAACATGTACCTCTGATCAAGTTATCCGTCTTGGCTTCTTCTGCACCGCTCAAAGCAAACACTCTGCCACTTGTCTGAGCAGCAGTAGCAGTCTTCTTCGGCTGCTGACACTGGGTACTGATATGCCCCTTCTCTCCACAGTTGAAGCAAGTCGGAGCTTCGTCTTTGCAGTCATTAGCCTTATGACCCCTCTTGCCACAATGATGACGCCTCAGCGCTTTACAATTCTCAGCACGATGGCCTTGCTCGCCACACTTATAACACTTCCCTGGAGCAGTAGCCGCTCCCCCACTTGGCTTTTTCCCATACGAAGCCTTATGCTTTCCTTTATCACCAGAAGTCACATACGGTTTTCCCCTGAACTGACCTTTCTCTTTCTTCTCACTCAGCTGCTTGTAGTGAGTAGATCGAGCTCGGCTATCTTCATCATAAATTCTGCTCTTATTCACTAGTTCTGAAAATCGACGAATCTGCTGATACCCAATTCCCTACTTAATCTCTGGTCTAAAACCATTGTCAAACTTGAGACACTTCGACATCTCTGCGTCAACACGGTTGTAATGCGGACAAAACTTGACCAAAGACTCAAACTTTGCCGCATACTCAGCCACAATCATATTACCTTGTTTCAGCTCAAGGAACTCCACCTCTTTCTTCCCCCGAACATCTTCAGGAAAATACTTTCTCAGAAACTCTTCTTTAAACACAGTCCAAGTTATTGCAATGCCCACATCTTCTAATCTCTGGCGAGTGTTATCCCACCAGTCCTCAGCCTCCTCTGCCAGCATATGCATACCAATCTGTACCTGCTGCGCACCGGTGCACGCCATAACTCAAAAAATCTTCTCAATCACTTTCAGCCACTTCTGCACACCATCAGGATCATGAGTACCCGCAAAAGTCGGCAGATTGTTCCTCTGAAAATTTCCCAAAGTACGGAACTCATCTGGAGGTCCACCATTCTGAGCCATCACTTGGGCAAGTGATTCCAACGCATCAACAATAGCACGATCATTCCTTCCTACCATCTACAACCACCAACAAGGTTAGAAGGAAACAACTCATTGATAGCATTCTCACACTATCGACTGACAGGGGATCAACAACATAAACACTTGGCCGGACGGACCGACCTGTCTGATACCACTAATGTAACACCCTTTTTCTACCCCAAAAATATCAAGGCAAAATAACACAGAAATCAGAGTGAATAAATAAATCTCATTAAAAAGCCGCTAAAAGGGCGTACATTTTTCAAAGCCATCAAAATAGGTCCATACTCCGTAACTACAGGTTTCTCCCAAAGTACATCAAAACATCATAAACAGCGGAACTCAAAACATAAATCAAAGTTTTCCTCGAAAAGGGAAATTAATCAAAATAACGTCAACAATATAAAATCAACTCAAGGAACCCAACCCGATGTTACATATCAGAGCAAGACCCTCTAGGCTGATCAAAAGACTAAAACACTCAAAAACTAACTCCTTGCCGGCGTCCACGGCTAAACTGGATCATCTGCACGTTACCCATGTAGAGGTAACATTCAAACAGGCAGGGTGAGTAAAACAATTCATAATAATCAATGTATAACAATTAATGCATAAACGACATCATAATCATATTCAACACATTCATATCCTCAAATATGCCTCAAAGGCCACAACGTCATAATTTATACACAAAGACTCATAAATGCAATGCAACACAACTCAATGCATGTGGTACCAATCATCACAGCGCGATGAACACTGGGTCATCAACCCTCCATAGATCCCCATCAATAGGATCGATTCTCCTAGAGAACCGGAGCACATCAAAATACTTCACATCCACACAGTGGGATCGAAGCCAAAGTAATTGAGGTCCTGAACTGAAGTCCGGATGCACATGAATGCATGATGCACACGTCACAATAATAATCCTTACAATACAGCATATAGTGCATCATCATTCATCCTACTCATCATCATATAAAATCATCATATCTCATGTTATCACATAGTTCATCAAATCATGGTAATTTCATCATATTAACTCAATCGATACATCATAGAAACCATCACAACATCATGTACATATCACCCAAAACCCACTGTCATACTCAGGGTAATCCATCCCAGAAATCCTAGAATTAAACATCAAGGCATCGCTGCAAAACAATCAGATTTCGCGAACTCTGTTACGTTCGCTGGCTTGCTCGCTAGGCGAGTCTGTAGCGAACCTTCACTGGCTTGCTCGCTAGGCGAACAAAGTGATGACAACAAAAACCTGTTACGACCAAAATTGATTCTTGTCCAAATACTCATACGATTCACTTACCCAATGCCCCCAAAACATCCCTAAATCATCCCTACGGTCATACGGCGATAACGACACAAAATCTATGGTTTATTAGGCCAATCTGGCAACATTTGCACTGCCTAAATCACTATTTTCCTGCAATTGCTCTGAGTGCATCAGAGTTACTCACATTTGAACATTCCTATTCCTACAGGGTCAAACATATAACGATCCAAGGTTTTGGCCACAAAGGCCTAAAGTTTCCCTTTCTCATATCAATATTCAGTGTTACATACCATTACTCCTAACCTCAAAGCCTTATCATCAAATTTCCTATTTCCCCACAGCCAACCCAAAATACCTTAAATCATAAACCACATAAACCAACCATAAACACATCGAAAGACATACATAGAAAATCATGAACATCGATACTCCCCATACCTTAGTCGATTCGCAGCTTTCACGATTAACTTCGAGATCTTCTGCCTCCAACCTTTCCTTCAGAGCTCTAGCCACCAAACTTTCACGGTTAACACGAATGAATTCAAATTCCCTTCAAAACTCAATTTTGCCAACTTAGTCTTGGGCCTCACAAATTGGGCTTTTCCCTGATTACCCTTACTAACTCCCTCAAATGCCCAAATTGCCCTTATTTCACTTATATTCCATTTAATTAATAATAATACTAATAAATTAATATTATATGCTATTAATCAAATAAATACCCGAAAATGCACATCTTTCCAATATTCACAAAACCACCATAAATTCACCGAAACATGAATATTCTTAATTAAATAGTTAATTAACATATTCCGATTAAATTTGGGGTGTTACATAAGCCCTAGCAGTCACTTGGATTGAGCCTGACCATCCAGCCCAACCCAACTCACCGTTGGCCCTGCGCTAGGGTTTCACTATAAATACCCTCTATCACTAGAGGGTTAGGTATTCAAATTTGTACACCTTCTCTCTGTATTTGCTTCACTCTGGTCATCTCTCATTTTGGCATCGGAGTGTCTTGCAGGTACACCCCCTCCTCCTTCTTACCACCGGTGAACATGCAGCATATCAAAGACGTGTGGTGGTCCAGCGATTCCTTCCTGATCATACAAGTAATTTAAAAATTTCAATCTAATTTGACGAAATAAATGGTCGTCATTAATTAACAATCTAAGATTAATTTATACAGTCGATGTATCATTTATTTCTCAATTTAAAAAATATTAATTTTAAATTTTAAAAATATAGAAATGTTTAGAAAATATTTCTTGAATATTAAATATGCCTAATATTTTACATATAAAATGACAGATTTTAGTAGTGTCTAAATTTTTTACTTAGTATATATATATATATATATATATATATATATATATATATATATATATATATATATATATATATATATATATATATATATATATATATATATATATATATATATATATATATATATATATATATATATATATATATATATATATATATATATATATATATATATATATATATATATATATATATATATATATATAAAACGGAGAACCAAAGTTAGCAAATAAACTTTAAACGGCTAATGTCGAGATTACCCTTGCAGAAGGATCAAAATGCAAAATAGATGAATATAAAAAATTATGAGTCTGGAGCCGGCTACGTGTCACGTATACAGACACATCCTCGAATCAATCGACGTAATATCATTTTTAATGATTCAGTGGGAAAGGGTACACAGGAAGTTCCGATAGATCATCAGATTATTATTATAAAGATAATAAAAATATCTAAATATAATGTTGTGTATGTGTCTTGTTATTGTTATTATTATCTAGTGACCGAGTTCATTTGCCACCACAATTTTATTCCTTCCTCCACTTCGCTTCCTCTATCATTATATATCTTATATTTTATTTTATTTACTTATTATATAAAACAACTTCTTCTCCCTTATCTGCTTCCTCAGGTCTCTTTTTTACTAAATTCTTAAATATCAATCTTTTTTATTTTTCTTGCTTGATTCGTTTTATCTTATCCGTATTTCTGGGGAACTGCTTCCGGTAAGTTTTTTTTTTCTTTCTTCTTTCAATTTTTGTTACTGTTTGTTACTTGTTTGTTCTTCTTGGATTTGCAACTATAATTGATGTTGCTGATTCCGTAATTCAACTTTTCCCCAATTATTTTGTTTTTGTTTGGTTGTCAATTTTTCAGTATTAAATTTCCTGGCTCTAAGTATGTTATTGTTGATGACTTTTCTTTCTAATCCTGAATTCATACTTGAAGTTTAAATTATTACTATTTTGTGATCTAGTAACACTTTTTACTGAAATCTATTATTTTTATTGATTATCTGTTTGATTGTTTATTTTTCCTTTATACTCTTATGAGGAATTGTTGTCTTAATGATTTATCTCATTTGCTTATGCATTCTTTTGCTTCAAGAGTATTAATTGTTGGCTAATATATTTTATTAATGAATGCGGCTGGATTTTCAGGAATTATGGCTAGAGTTTTGGCTCAGTCGCTTAGTGTTCCTGGCCTAGTGGCTGGGCACAAGCACAGTCAACATAAGGGATCGGGAAAATCTAAGAGATCGGTCAAGATGACGTGTGCTTTGCGAACAAGCGGAGGTTTCTCAGGACTTCGTACTTTCAATCATTTGAATACTATGCTGAGACCTGGACTGGATTTTCACTCAAAGGTATCGAAGGCAGTTTCTTCACGGCAGGCAAGGGCAAAGAGATTCATACCTAAAGCCATGTTTGAGCGTTTCACGGAGAAAGCAATCAAAGTGATAATGTTAGCTCAGGAGGAAGCAAGACGTCTTGGTCACAATTTTGTTGGAACTGAGCAGATTCTTTTGGGTCTTATTGGTGAAGGCACTGGTATCGCCGCCAAGGTCTTAAAGTCTATGGGAATCAACCTGAAAGATGCACGTGTTGAAGTGGAGAAGATAATTGGAAGGGGTAGTGGATTTGTTGCTGTTGAGATTCCATTTACTCCCCGTGCAAAGCGTGTATTGGAACTTTCACTGGAGGAAGCTCGTCAACTTGGTATGCATTTGTTTACCTACCTCTATTATATTTTATAGCCTAATTTATAGATTGCATAAAGCATTTGTATCGTTAACAGTGTTTTTGGTCTTATTTCCAATCCGTCTACAACATTTACTAGTTTTTGTCCGGTAATTGTTGCTTGAAATAAGGTATAGATGATACGCCTAGCACAATTTAAAGAAAAATTAATAAAAGAAATTGTGAATCATAATGATCGTTTATTTATCCTTTGTATTTTATCTTGAGGTTTATGTTAGCTAGAAACTCACATATTCCCTATGCAAGTGGATGCATTAAAATGATTGTTACGGGTATTTTTGGAAATATAATAATATTAACTCATTTAAATTCTTTTCCTTGGTCTTGATGATCTGGTCTTTTATTTCTTATAAAAAGGACAGGAGAATGTACTATCTAGCTTTGATTGTATTTTAAAAAATTGAGCTAGCGGCTATTTGCGATTTTTTTCAGTGGATGGCTTGTGTTTGGGAAATATTATATTCCAGTGTAAGTCTTAGCTCATTAAACTCTGAGTCTTACACCATGAAAATTTCAGGTCACAATTATATTGGATCAGAGCACTTGCTTCTGGGTCTTCTTCGAGAGGGTGAGGGTGTAGCAGCACGTGTTCTTGAAAACTTGGGGGCTGATCCTACTAATATTCGCACACAGGCTAGTATTATGCCTTTGTTTATATCTTTTCTTACCACGTTAATGTTTGCATTTTTTCTTCTTAATTTGCATTAATTTGATAATTTCTTTGGAATGGGCATAGGTTATTCGCATGGTGGGTGAGAGTGCTGACAGTGTTACTGCTACTGTTGGCTCAGGAAGTAGTAACAATAAAACGCCAACTTTGGAGGAGTATGGAACTAATTTGACCAAGCTAGCAGAAGAGGTAATGACAGTTCCTCGTTTTCTTCATAACAGAAGGTGGATGATACTACTTGGTGCATAAAAGCTAAAATGTTTATCATCTGTCCCTCAGGGAAAGTTGGATCCTGTTGTGGGAAGGCAGCCACAGATTGAGCGTGTCACCCAAATTTTAGGCCGCCGCACCAAAAATAATCCTTGTCTTATTGGAGAGCCTGGTGTTGGGAAGACAGCCATTGCTGAAGGTCTTGCTCAGCGGATTGCTACTGGCGATGTACCTGAAACAATCGAAGGAAAAAAGGTTAAAAGAAAGAAAACACCTACCCCTTACCGTTATTAAATTGCCGACCATTTAGTTGAGTTATTCTATATTTGAGTACCATTTTTTCGGATGTGTCCAAGTAATTATGAAAGTATCCTATGTTTTCTCTGGAATTTTACGTGTTGAAAAAACATTTTATGGCACCTGGGTGATGATAGTATTTACGAAGTGCTATCTCGTTTCAGTCACATGGTTTCCATTAATAATTTCATTGTGTAGGATAGGTATTATAATTTTTACTTGCTGGATTTTTGGGAGTGTAATATGAATTTGGAATGATGTGAATACTTTCTTTGCTCAATTGTTTTTCACATACAAGTCTGTTTTGGATATACTTTTCCTTACTCTTTAGACTATTAATCATCAACAAGCAAGGGGGTATTCAGGTCTCTTTCAATTATTTTAATTATATTTTCAAATTTATGGCTATAGAACATCAATGATTTCAATGTAGTTTCAAGGAGTCATATATGTTGATTAAGTACTTAACCACTGATAACTTTTCCATTATATTTGTTGTTGGCGCAATCCCTTTTTGAAGGGCCCTTTAGGCTTGAAGTGCATTAATGCGCTGATTAATTTTTACCATAATTTGAAATTCGAATATTATTTTAGAAAAATGATGTTGTCAAGGATCAATATTTGCACAAGTTGGCAAGGGAAGCTTTGACGCCAAGATATAATCAACTTTTCCAAAATCTTAATCTGTTATTTGAAGGCATGTGATTATGAATGATTTTATATATCCAACATATTCTTATAATATGCTTTGTTCACATGAACTAGGTTATAACCCTTGATATGGGTCTGCTTGTAGCTGGAACCAAATACCGTGGTGAGTTTGAGGAGAGGTTGAAGAAACTGATGGAAGAAATCAAACAAAGTGATGATATTATACTTTTTATCGATGAAGTGCACACTCTAATTGGAGCAGGAGCAGCTGAAGGTGCTATTGATGCTGCTAACATACTAAAACCAGCTCTTGCGAGAGGTGAACTACAGGTAGTAATTTCCTCAAATCTTTAAAATGGATTTATTGCTTATTGATTATGTCTATGAAGTCATTGTGCTATATCCAAGCAGATGAAATAATTGGTTTTTAGTTGGATTACATTAGCACCACTCTTGAATTTTTCATAGGAAAAAGTTTGAACGTTCTCTGGTCATAAAACGTCTAGCAAATCCACATCTTCCGAAAAGAATATATGATATATCCTCTGATAGTTCAGTATGGTCACAGGTTGTTGCTAACTTGGTGGCTTGTGATCAGAATTAAAGAATGTATGCTTAAGTATCAAACTAATATTGGAATTTTTAATCTAAAAATTGAAGTGTTGGCATTTCCTACTTTTTCAATCTTGGTCAATAATGGATACCAAATGGTCAACTTAGACACATTTGAAGTGCCTAGTGCCCGCATTATTCTCACCGTCACAAGTTTCTTCTAAATTAATCGGTTTGATGGAGTTCACACTCTGCTGTTTATTGTTAAATTGTACTATACAATGTTGACTTAAATATTACTGCAGTGTATTGGAGCCACAACATTGGACGAATACAGGAAGCATATTGAAAAAGACCCAGCTTTGGAGAGACGATTCCAGCCAGTTAAAGTACCAGAGCCAAGTGTAGATGAAACCATACAAATACTGAAAGGACTTAGAGAACGTTATGAGATTCACCACAAGCTCCGCTATACTGATGAGGCTCTTATAGCTGCTGCGCAACTTTCATACCAGTATATCAGGTTTGTCATGATTTGTCTATTCGTTTTTCTATTTATTTTGCATATCGTTTATGCTGGTATAGATATCATTTAAATGTTGCATGTTTGACCGGAAATTTTCCATTGAAAAGTGATGCACATGTTTGACTTCTTGAATTTAGTTGTTGTCCTCTATGAATCTCTGACTTTGCTTTGTCTAGCAGCTTAACCATCTAATCTACGATAATTTAATATTTTATTTATTTTTTAAAAAATTAAAATATCTATGTAGCAGTACCCCTGGATGTTTAGCATCGCTCTTTGTGACAATAGGATATAGTTTGATACGGGCAGTGAAAATATATCACAAATATCTTCATGTATTGAACTGGACATTTTTATTTTATTACAATTACAGATATCTTTTTTTTTTTGCAAATTGTGATCATTGCTTTTCAATATATTTTATTAATGAGAAACGGTCCATTTCTCTTGACACGTGCATCTATGTGAAATATTTTTCTTGTTAATGTATTTAGGCTGAATCATGTCTTTAAATTTCAAGAATTTCCCATATTAATGTCATGCTGTACTAATGTCATAAATATATGGACTCCTGGGGTTGTAATTCTGATATAGCTGTTTGATTAATACCTATGTTATTCAAAATGCTCATCCAATCTTTTCAAAGTGATTCCTGGTGTATAATAATGTTTGTTCTCTGCAGTGATCGATTTTTGCCTGACAAAGCTATAGATTTGATTGATGAAGCTGGTTCACGAGTCCGTCTTCAACATGCACAGGTATATTGTTTTTCTACCCTTTTACTAGCAGTTCTAGCTTCAATTATTTAGCTAATTGGGCTATTATGTGCTTCCAGTTGCCAGAAGAGGCAAAAGAACTTGACAAGGAGGTCAGGAAGATTGTTAAGGAGAAAGAGGAATATGTTCGCAACCAAGACTTTGAAAAGGTAAGTTCTTTCACTGAAGATTTATCTTGTAAAGTTCTTAACGTCAAACATTTTCAGGAAGATTGTCAATCACCTTTATACAACGAGATAATATTGTTTGTCTATGAAAAATAATACCTGTGCTTGAGTAAATATAAAAAGAATTCCTGAAATTTTATAGTTGGACTAGAATGATCCCTGCTTCTAGTTCATTGAGTTGAAAGAATACTTTAGTGTTACCCCAGTGCTTTGTTCCTTATTTGAATATGCAATGTTTTGGTGTGACTTGATGACACATGAATTTCTGATAGGCTGGAGAACTGCGTGATAAAGAAATGGATCTCAAGGCGCAAATCTCAGCACTTATAGAGAAAGGCAAGGAGATGAGCAAAGCAGAGACTGAGACAGCAGATGAAGGTCCTATTGTGACTGAAGTTGACATTCAACATATTGTGTCCTCCTGGACAGGCATTCCTGTTGATAAAGTCTCAGCAGATGAATCTGATCGTCTCCTCAAGATGGAAGATACTTTACACCAGCGAATCATTGGTCAGGATGAAGCAGTGGAAGCCATTAGTCGTGCTATCCGTCGAGCCCGAGTTGGATTGAAGAACCCTAATCGTCCAATTGCCAGCTTCATCTTTTCTGGTCCAACTGGTGTGGGAAAGTCTGAATTGGCCAAAGCATTGGCTGCATACTACTTTGGCTCTGGAGACGCCATGATTCGTCTTGACATGAGTGAATTTATGGAAAGGCACACAGTCTCCAAACTTATTGGTTCACCTCCAGGATATGTTGGTTACACCGAAGGCGGTCAATTGACTGAAGCAGTTCGGCGTCGTCCTTACACTGTTGTACTCTTTGATGAGATTGAGAAAGCCCATCCTGATGTATTCAACATGATGCTTCAAATCCTTGAAGATGGAAGACTAACAGACAGCAAGGGTAGAACTGTGGATTTCAAGAACACGCTTCTTATAATGACATCAAATGTTGGAAGCAGTGTGATTGAGAAAGGAGGCCGCCGAATTGGATTTGATTTGGATTTCGATGAGAAAGATAGCAGTTATAATAGAATCAAGAGCTTGGTGACTGAGGAGCTAAAACAATACTTCAGGCCAGAGTTTTTGAATAGGTTGGATGAAATGATTGTTTTCAGACAACTCACAAAATTGGAAGTGAAGGAGATAGCAGACATAATGCTCAAGGAGGTGTTTCAAAGACTTAAGATCAAAGAAATTGAACTTCAAGTCACAGAAAGATTTAGGGACAGGGTGGTTGATGAAGGTTATAATCCTAGTTACGGAGCTAGGCCTCTAAGAAGAGCCATAATGCGACTTTTGGAGGATAGCATGGCTGAGAAGATGCTCTCTAGAGAGATCAAAGAGGGTGATTCTGTCATAGTGGATGTTGATTCTGATGGTAATGTGATTGTTCTCAACGGTAGCAGCGGTACTCCAGAGTCGTTACCAGAGGCTCTTTCTATATAATGTGGTTGGTTACCTTTTCTATGATGTATGTACTTGATTTATTTAAATAAAGCATAGTCATAGTCTGTTTTTCTTGTTGATAAATCTTTTAATCTATTACTGATAGACCGAGTTACCATTTCCCTTAGCAGCCCTAGCAAATCAAGTTATAAAAGGGGTTTACATCACAAGAACAGGTGGGATAAGGGAAAACCAAAAAGGGTGTGTGAATGATGGAAAAAAATCAATGTATGGCATGCCCTGGACATGTTCATCTTCATCCATGGCTATTTCGTTGGAAGCTGGAGTATTTTTTATGTTTTCGCTGATAGACTACGTAATATAACATCCCAGCTTTGCTGTATAGTATTGCTATGGCATATGTATTGATCGACATGTTATAACAAATACTTGTATGACAACAAAAACTTTCGAGGTAATTAGATCTGTTTGAAATATGTGACCTAGTTAGTGTACTCTGGGTTGCATGTTTTTCAGGTTCATGTCATAGGTTGTATTCTTGGTTTTATGAGTCCGACTTTGTTCCATTTATCCATCCTCTCTATTTACTGTTCATTTATGAGAGAGATGAATACATGTGATAAATTAGTGGAATCCATTTTAATAAGTGGATTCATGAATAAGTTCTACTAATTTACTACTATGTTTTTTTTCTCATAAATGAAGAGTACATAAAGAAAGAAATGCAATCCCCAAATAATCTTTTTACAGCCATTCTATATTCCACGCCAAATGTAAGAGACCAAATTGGTGTTACACGGAAACTAAGGTAAGGTAAAAGTTGTTAAAAAGTTATATTTGCTCTTTTAGAGAAAGTTATATTTGCTCTTTTAGAGACTACGTATAAATAGTCAAAATAAGTCTTTATTTGTAGCTGAGAGAAAAGTATAACACTTGTTCTAAAGATATTAAGAAAATTAATATAGAAATAGTCTTAAAAACTGCATTCATAAAACACAGATTTTTTAATACAAGATTACTATTTTTAGTTTTCTTAAAACATGTCTTTGAAATACAAGTCAACAAGAATCAAAATGTGGCTTTGGAAAAAAGTGGAGGAATTGAATGCTTTGAAAGGGAGGTTTTTGAAATTTAACAATTGAGTTTCATTATGGTTTGATAATCTAACAATTGAGGTTACAATGAAATTTACTAATCCTACTTGTTTTTAGCACAAGTCGGTGACTCCATACAGTTAGCAAACTCGAGTTCGATTTTGAATCCAACCGTTCAAATTTCAATATTAAATTAAAATTAAAATTTATTTTAAAATTTCAACTACTGGCTTCAGCTATCTGCGCGCAGTTGTGACTGCACTACTAAATTCACATATAATTTATCAATAAAGTAACACTAGAACCAAATTTAAGTCACAACGAATGCTAAAGAAGATTTGATCAATAATAAGAAAATAAAGTATCACGATTACGGTATCTATTGGTGCCGGATACGTATCCGGTACATGTATTTCAGCATTTTAAAATTACTCAAGCTCTAGAGTTTGCAAAAGAAGAGAAATATTTTAATCTGTCATTGAATGAGATTGCCTGTGTGTGGGGGATTACATTCCCACTATGGCTGATATTCAAATTGGTTAATGCCTTTTGGATTTCCATTGTCATGGCACTATCTACACTCCCCGATGATAGTCTTTTATGTAATTTCTGAAGATGGAGCTTAAGTGAGCTGCTGCTCAGTCCAACATTCTTGCCACATATTGGACAAACTTTTATTGTTGGTCTCTGCCGCCGCCGCCACTCCATTGAAACCTTCCCATGCAGTTTTTGATCAAGTTCCTGTAAGATCTTTCCAAAAGCATCATTCGGCTGTGCTCGACGGTGAACTATTTTCACAGCATTCCATGCTTCTAATAATGTGAAATTCCTGCATCACAGCCCAAATGTAGCTTGCATTGGTACTCTTAACTATTAACTATCAAGGAAGATAAACTTAAGATTGCCAAATATTACACATACTGAAAAATATAATAAGATTGCTCTGTTACCTAACAATGAAAATAACCTATCTGATAGTATAATTTGTCACTAAGATTAAACTAAAGTACGTAAACATTAGTTTACTTACTTTCTTAGCATCAAGTAAGCAAGGACTACAGTGACACTTCTGCTTTTCCCTTCAAAGCAATGAACTAGAATTCTCTGACCCGCTCTCTCAACATCTTCTATAAAATCACAAGCTTCTTCAAATAAGATGCTGATGTTAGAATTCTCAGTGTCACGTACCTGTTCAAACAGATGAATGAAAAGAAATATGAAGATTTCTTCCTCAGCAGAATTTAAGAGGACAGAAAATATTTGTATTGATATACGCATTAAAAAAGCATAAGGGCTTCTTTGTTTAAGTTTTAAGAGAAGTGATTTATGTTTACATTTAGCTACTACTCTGAAAATCACATTTTCCTTTGTTTGAGAAGCCACTCAAAGTAGTTTTATAAAATAATCAAAAATCTGTTTTTTCTTTCAAAAAAACTTATACAAACGCTAAAGAAAAACTTTATAGTTGCTTCTGCTCAGAATGAAAGTGACTTTTACATGAAAAAGTGAAACAAATGGGTCCTAAGTCATACATATCAGATAGTAAATACATTAAAGAAAGGACCAGATAAAAGTATGGGTCTAGCCATAACAAGTAACCACTATATCAGCCCTTGCACCTTACATCACAAGTATTTGGGATCATTATCTCTAGACAAGGTATGATAGTCTTCATAATCAATGATTATTTATGAAATGAATAAAAGTCCAACTCCAATACAAAACTAGATTAATTCTATACGAAAGAGAATGAATAAATTAAATAATATAAAGACTTCAAGGAAGTCAATCAATTCTCATGCAAAAACCTTTGCAAATGCATAAGTAGAATAATCTGATGGCAGTTAAAACATAGAAATATGATACGAAAACTTACAAAGAAATTTTTGTAAGTGAATAAATAAGGAAATTGAGAATCTGATTGTCCAATTTCATCAGTACACAGACACAAAATATGAGTGATTCCTAAGTGTTGCATTGTGCATATAGATCTTGCAGATAGTACTCCACCGATGAACAAATAATTTGTAATAGCAGATGGTCTCTCTGTATTTGCAGCCTCAGATATCAATGCAATCCTTTCAAGGATATGCTCTAGTCTAATCTGAAAGTTAATGGAGTAAATAATTAATATGAATATGCCTCCTCTGTGAATGAATTCACTTAAATCAATAGTTTAAACTCAGATACCTTCAATTCATATGCATCAACAACAGTGTTGCTATCACTTCCTTCAAAAAATCCTGAATTGAAATTGTTCTCCTGGCACAACTTGATAGCATCATTTTTGAGCATTTCACTCCAATGTTCTAATTCTTTATAAGATTCTGCATCAACCTAGAAAGCATGATAGAGTATAAGACAAGAGAAAAAAATAAAATAAAATGCATGGTAAAATAATTTCCTAGAGTTCATGCTTTCATTCAAAAAAACAAAAGCCAACAAAGAGAACATCCCATCCACTGTCCACAATAGTTAAATTGGTTGACACAGATTTGTCATAAACCAGTTTATTTTCAACAATAAGCCTATGAATAAAAAATGCAAACAGAGTACTAAAGTAATGTGCAGCAGAAGGAAGGCATTGTTCAGCATGTGCTACCTAGAGACCAACCTTGGCAAATTTATGAAAGTCGCGGAGCTTAGATGTAAAATGAGAATCATGCAACTGCTCCACACTCCCTTTGGAGGATTTTCGATGGCAACCTTCTCTTGACATAGGAGAAGTAGAGTCATAAAAATTTCTATTGCTAGAGGATAGCAATGCTCTTGGAGCAGATCGCTGAGAAAATGAATTACCAAAATCTCGATGGCTATCATTAGAAAATCTCTCCTTTCTTGTTGGAGAGAGACAACTACTAACGGCAGATGAAGGTGAATCTTCCTTTTCAGACTCCCTCAGTGATATTTTGCTTATAGTATTATCAAATGATCGTAACAAGTTATCAAGTTTTTGGTGAAGTGTAAGTAAGAATACATGAAATCCTTGCAATTCCCTAAGAGCGGCACGGAAGCCACTACGGAACTCGTGAACTATTGATTGTACGTCAAGGGTTAAACTTATTTCTTCTAAGGGAGGACTTCCTAATTTCCCTCCGGTTATATCATGTAACAGGAAAGAGGAAAACTGAGAGCTATTTAGTACCAACTCAACCAACTTAGGATAGGTGACCTGATCATTGGCACGTTTTAAAGCAGGAGGTCGACGTGGAACACCAGAGTCAATAGACAGAATGTTGGAGCCATATCGATTCATTGTCAAATCAAAGGGTTCTCCTATTGTATCTAAATTTGAAGGGATTGCTTTTTCAGCCAATAACAAATTGGCAGGGTTCCCACGCCATCTAAGTTGACGGCATGAAAGCCTATCTTCATTTCTGATAACAAGATCTAGCATCATTACTCTGCCAAGCGCTGCAGACGTTCTTTTTGCAGAATCCCTTGATTCAAATGCGCTAGAGCTTTCAAGTAAAGGTGAGCCATGTACATAACTACAAGAAGATTATGTATCATTAGAATAAATATCAAAAGTTAACATGAAAATATATCAACGGCTTTCATTTCACCGTTTTTATAAGAAACGGAAATATTAAATTTGGTTTAGTTACTCACAATTAATAGTAATGCCAAAACAAAAAAATCCTATTTTTCAAAATATCACACATGGAGAAGAGAGCAAAAAAAATAGAAATTAACTTTGGGTTATTGCCAAAATATTGTGACTGTTATATTGAACAAAAATTGCTTTTCTTAAATCATTGCAGAACCTCCAATTTAGGATGATATTTTCTCATACCAGATTCAAAATTGTTAGATCATGCCTCTACAATGGAGTATAATTAATTCAAGCAATAAAGGAAAATCTTTAAGAAATGACAAGAGTAACAAGACTACCAAAGATATCTTATGTTGCCATTGGAATCATGTTTGAAACCTTACAATATA